TACGATATACTATTGATAATCCCTTCGTTAGGCAGGACATCCTTGCTTTGTTTTAAAATTGAAGGCTGCTGCATCTTTTCCAAAATCATGTAGCATTAATCCTAAACGCTGTGCTGAGTGGTTATATTACTACCTTAAAAAATAAGCAGAAACTCGACGTTTCGAGCGAAGGCCCTTCGTCAAGAGTTCGTAGCAGGGATCAGGGAAAATGCACGGGCTTTTATACCAAGAGTATGAAAGCATCACGTGACAAAAATATAAACCAATTAGATGGATTTAATAATAACAAAGAGTAAACAAAATATGTAAATCGCATTACTGAATATAATATAATTAAAATATATAGTTTATTTTAGCCAATCAGCGCCGTGACACCGCCCCTTTAAGTGAATGAACAAACTCACAATTTGAGCCCTGTTTTATTACGAATAAATCAAAGTATAAAAGAGGCTAATTTATCACCGAAGTGGAAGCGAAGCGGTTATAGATTCATGTCTCACTATTTATGAATGGTAACTCTAATCCCTGGCTGTTGACCCTAACCGCTAACCTGACTCATAAACAGCGAAGATAACGCTGAACGAGATCTGAATAATATAATTCTGATATCCTGCGTAAGCCGAATTCAATAATTCTTTTATTATTTATTATTATTCTTCTTTTATTCAAAACGAGCCGAAGCAGCAGAAGCCATTGTCAAAACAAAATAATTTCACAAAATTTCCCGCTCTTTTCCAATTCATGCAAAATACCGCTGCAAAAATACGCGGGCACCTAGAGATACAATATTTATTACACTGACCTGAAAGGTCAAGTGTCTTAAATCCCTAGTTTTCTGTTTTCTTCTGTTTTTTTCGTCGTCGAGAAATCGAGTTTGCGTTCGCGCATCGCAGGCTCAGGGTGCAACGATTAATCCAAAATGCCATCGATTCTTTGACTCCACGATTCATATATAATAGTAAGAAGCTGGTATTTATGTACGTAATAGTCGGCTCATGTCATGCTTGCGGTGCATTTTTCGTTTATTAGCCCATATATAGACCTATATGGACTTATACGCACGCGCACAATTCCGAACTCCAATGGTGACATATTCAGTCCAGTTTCAAAATGGCGCCTTTTGGCTGAGTGATCAGAAAGTATTTCACACAGTTTCGTTGAATTTTGAAAGAGTTGTGCCGGTTTCCTATGGATTTTACGTTGTGTCGCACTCTGAACTTTCTTGCGTGTTGAACTAACATGTTTTTCTTCGTGTAACGACTCGAAAACCCCAAAGTTTGGACCCAGCGAATTTTACAAAGGACAAGTTAAAGGTTCGACAGCTTGACTTTTTAACTAATAAACAACCGTCTATAAATATACGTTGTAGAGTCATAAGCATCCGTGGTGTAGTTGTGTTAATTTTTTGTCGCACTCTGGACTCAGTTTCTGCATGTTGAATTAATGTTTTTATTTTTGTATTATACGTCTCTAAAATTTGGCTTTGAAAATTTGGCCGACCCGGCGGATTTATGCAATCAATATGTTGTATTAAACGACTCGAAAACCCCAAAATTTGGACCCGACGCGAATTTGTACAATATAGTGGAATATAAGCAAGTACAAGTTAAAGATTCTACAGTTTATTTTGATTTATTGTATGGTACTCATTTGTCTAATACAATAACATTTAGTTCACAAGGGCAAGTTAATGGTTTGACCATATTAAAATACATGTATTGAAATTCGCGCAATAGCTACTAGAATTCGCGCAAGTAAAGATAAAGCGAGCGTTCAAAATACCAAAAAGAACTAAGGCATTTATTGTATGGTTCTCATTTGCCTAATAGAATAACATTTAGTTCACAATATAATATAAACACAATATAAACAATGAAAAGTTAAAGGTTTGACAGTTTCACAACACAACGTCGACAATATACCTTAATACATGTATTAAAATTCGCCCAGTAGCTACTAGTTGGCGCGCCAAATGCTTTGTGGTAGCTATACTAAAGATAAAGCGTGCCTTCAAAATACCTACAAGAACTAAGACATTTATTGTATGGTTCTCACTTCTCATTTGCCTAATACAATAACATTTAGCTCGACGCGAATTTTAACTATAGTATCATATTTCATAATATAATGAACAATGTAAACTAGCCAATTCTTTCACCTACAAAATGTCGACAATATACCTTAATACATGCATTAAAATTCGCGCAGTAGCTACTAGAGTTCGAGCAAGTAGTAAAGATAAAGCTTGCATTCACAATACCGAGACATTTATTGCATGGTTCTCATTTGCCTAATACAATAACATTTAGTTTACAATATAATATAAACAAGGAATAGTCGTTCGATTTGGCTATACTGTTTGCTCGTTTTGAATGTGTATTGATCATTTCAATAATCGATTTACATATCAGTCTGCTCGATTCGAGTAAGGGTTGCCCGATTTGTATCATTGGTGATTTGGTGTTCGACTTATAACTATTGGACCTATTGAATTTTGACAGTAAAAACGCGCCATATATAATACATGTATTAAAATTCGCGCAGTAGCTACTAGCATTGGAGCAAGTAAAGATAAAGCGGTGCGTTCAGTGAAATACCAACAAGAACTAAGATATTTATTGTATGGTTCTCATGTTCCTAATACAATAACATTTAGTTCACAATATAATATAAACAAGGAAAAGTTAAAGGTTTGGCGTTTGACTACACAATGTCGGCATTATACCTTAATACATGTATTAAAATTCGCGCAGTACGTATAGCTAGTGCTACTAACATTCCGGCGGACCTATTGAATTTTGACAACAAAAACGCGCCATATAGCCTAATACATGTATTAAAATTCGCGCAGTAGCTACTAGAATTGGCACAAGTAAAGATAAAGCGTGCGTTCAGTGAAATACCAACAAGAACTAAAACGTTTATTGTATAGTTCTCATTTTCCTAATACAACTCGATCAACTCATAGCTATTATGTGCTCATTTGTTATCATGTGCTCATTAATTCTTATATCAATATTGGAACATGATCACGAAATACTGCGTAGCGCAAAATCTCCATTCTTCAAAAACGTATCGTTCAAGGCAACTGAAAGGCGAAGAAGACAATGATATATTTTATCTGACTGCTTCACTACTCAGAAATGATCCACGATCATGATTTGATAAAGTTCAATATGGTCACGTGATTTTCAGTGTGAACCTGAGATACTATCTATAAATATTATTACTAAGTATCTGACATTAAACTAAATGTGATTAAAGCACAAGAGATGTTACCTATGTCTCATTTTATATTTTTATTTTTTTTCCTATGAAGGTTTGTTACTTGTGCAAAAGCGCAACTTTAATTAGGTTTCAAACAGTTTCTGCCTTCTGCTTTTTGTTGTCGAATTATTGATTTTCTTTGGATAAATCTACCGCTGAAACTGTTCTATACGAACTCTCTTGCTTCCCATTCCCTTGTCTATTACACCATATAGCCAATCTCGTTCCCCGAGCCTGCGATCCTCGGGAAGGAAACGAAGGCTCTGGGATAATTCGTTGCCGAAAGCCAGGAATTCTGGCTAAGATTGAACTGCACATTCCATATCAACGGCCAATCAGATTCCTCCCTGAAACGGATTATCCCAGAGCCTTCGTTTCCTTCCCAACGACCGCAGGCTCAGGGAACGAGATTGCACCATAGCACGCATATCATCATTTTCAGGTCAGTGTGAACGCCTGAGTAGGCGTCTTGTTTGTCATATTCACATGCAGATACGAGATTTATCTGTCATGTTCATGTCTGCACCAAGATACGGAAAAATATCTGTAGGCTTTCAACCAATAAGAATACGAGAAAATAGTACAACGAATAATAATATCAGTTACTTGCCACATGAGCTTTGCACTAAAAATTGTTCATAAATTAAATTATGAAAAAAATTTTGGCGCTTTTTACAGACTTTACAACACATGTGGAAAGACACCAAGCTTCACATGCTGGTATCCGGGCCGGCCTGATAATTATGGAAACTGTGAAAAGAGTGGCCACATGCGTGTGAATGAGAAGTATAAAGCAAAGTGGAATGACGTCGCTTGTAACGCCAAGTATTCATACATATGTGAATTTAAACAACCCAGATGTGAGTATCTAGCGAAGATTCTTCGTTTCAAAGCCAGTAGTATGGTTCGGAGACATCCCTCGCTCGAAACGTTGAAGCTTTTGTTATCGGTATAGTTTGATCCTGCATGCAGCGGTGAGGGCAATTGTTCTGCAGTTATATAGCTACACGCGTTATGATCCACTAGTGTAATTTTACACTGACGCAGAACAATTCATTTGGATGCGCAGTGGATACTGTGAATTGGCTTACATTTTTATATTGCGCATGCAAGCTACAGGAGCATGCATTGCATTTACCCACTATAGAGGGCCACCAAGGGGTTATGACCGACAGGCGATATTCCTTAAAAAGAGGCGACAGACTATCTAAAAAAGAGCGACAAAGGACAGCTTCTGACTGGGAAAAAGCGACAAATTGCGATTTGTGTTATGGTTCAAAAGTGACAGCGACATTTATTACAATTAAACAAGCAACAAAGCAGCTACAAAATGAGTGACTTGGGTTACACCCTTGGTGGCCTCATTATACAACTTCTCTTTCACGGTCTCAGCTTCTCGTTTGCCCTTCTCCCATATATTATGATAAGAAATTGGAATATTTATGATATTCGAAACTTTTTAAAGGCTAGCTGCGTATATCGCCTTAGTAAAGTCACAGTCTGTTATCTTCAACAGTCAGAAAGTACATGAAGGTCAGCCTAGACCTAGGCCTTAGTTCCAGTCTTTTCATGTGAGAAAGCGCTGAATATTAAATAAAATAATAAAAATAGAAGGCCTAAGTCTAGGCTGCATGAAGGTGAAGTTTTTCCCCTACAAATGTTATAAATATCACAAATATGTAAAATTACCAATCACAATATGGGCACATTAACATTAATATGTCATATTCGTTCGGCCTCAATATTTCCAAAATATGCGTTTTTTGTTCCAAATTAAATATTCCTACCAGAAATATTCCTCCAATTAAACTAATTCAAAATCCACCATTCATTCCTGGTTCAATTACGGTAAAAAGTCCATAAAAACTCACTTCTACAACAGTTAAACTTCTGTTGGACGCTATATCATATACATAGAAGTCGATTTTTATCTATTGAAAAGTGATTTTAAACACCTAAGTCTTAAGGTTGTTCGATATAGTTTTCTAAAAATGGAAAATTCACGATTTAAACCCGTATTTTTGGAGAATAGACTTTATGCATGATGACGTCACAACGCTTGTTGCCCGCGAGGAATGCCGGAAAATTTCGATAGTGGCTATTTTGAATTGTTTAATTTTCTCGGGCGATGACTACTAAGACCAGTATTCTTCGCGGGCACAAAGCTATGACGACTGACGTTTCAATATGGCGGGTATTTTGGCTAGCAAAATCGTCTGGTGTTAGACAGAGCTACGAAATAGGCTGGCATTAGACAGGGTAAAATAATAAAATAGGGCGCAATGTAACTTAATTTGGTTAAACGTGTTATTCACGCTGATATAAATGTCGAATAGACAGTGTCTCACTCACTGCTACCACGATGTGAGTAGAAACCATTTCGTTTAGAAGACCATGGCATGTCCACCATAAATTGCGACTTTCCCAAAAGGCACCAGGGCCTGTGAACAAGGAAGATTACATCACTGGTTTACATGAAGTTTCTTAGGGTTCAGACCAAGTTTCAGCCCGTGCAATTTCACGGCCTAACGATAAAATAAAGCTGTACGATTTTTATCTTGAGCGGAGTTTCAGCCTGGTTTAAATATGGCAGAGCTAGCGCTGCCATGCAAGCGTGTAAACAATTTGATTTCATGCAGCTTGGTTTTAACGTAACGGATTGAAAACTCGCATGTAAGCAGCCCAAGCTCTATATATATATACATCTATTCAACTTACATACAGTATCACACTCACTTTTTAAGAGCTGATGTCAACAATTGCAGGTCTTGATTACAGAATCCAACCAGTGCAAATACCAGCCAAACACGTCTTGAATTTGACATCTAAACACGAAGAAAGTAATTCAAGGCGAAATTACTACACTATATTAAATACAACAAAACGTTAAATTTATCGTCTTTCTAACTCACTTAGAACTGTAAATGGCGAGGTAAATCGTCTCATTTTATCCATATCTACAATTAATGTTGCATGTAATTTGTACACACAGCATGTCTACCCCACATATATATAGCTTCACATTTAGCTATAGCTTCACATGTCCGATTTAAGAATCAAGCAATGTAGCCAGAGCAAATAAATATGTCAACATGAAACGAGAAAATAAATTAATAAGAAACTTTGCTTAAATCTTACTCGCCATAAAAATCCATCTTGTTTCTTGAGATTCGAAAGCTGGAAGTAAGTATAGCATGTAATATTTCAGCACCACCTGGCGGCTTGTCCCCGAGCCGACGGCGCGAAGCGCCGTGCGAGGGTACTAATTCCCCCCGGCTATTTACACCCGGGGAAACGAAAGCATTAGCCAAGTCTAAAGTTCATCAAATATCGCGGGCGTGGCTCACCAACGAAGTTTCGGTGGGTGGTCATCTTCACTGATCTCAAAAATATGGCGGACTGTCATGAATAGCGGACACTGATTGGTCCAATTTACAGTTTGCATTATAACGACTGCATGACGACAGCGAAACAGCAAACATTTCTTGATTTGATCACAGAGTAGAGACATACAGAGACGTAACTAGTGTACCCACTTTTTTTGTGCGCACGCTCGGCAAGTTACTAGATGCATGCATCTGATTGGATGACGACCTGATGACGACTCACTTTAAACTTGCTGAGCACGCGCAGTTGATCATTTTTCGCCCGGTCGCCTGAAAAAAAGTGGGTACATGATAACGTAATCTTCCGCAGTGTAAACAACGGTCAGTTACGTCTCTGTATGTCTTATCTACTCTGTGATTTGATGATTGATAAATTTCTTGCAAATATATCTTATTTTTGCTCGCATTTTTGCAAGATTTTGTAAATTTCAAGAAAGAAAAGACTAAAGAATGGGCTAAAAGAAGGGAGCCGACGTTAACAAAGGTAAGTTTGTTTTAAATA